CTTTTGGGACATTGGTGTCCCTGCCGTCCAAAAACTAGAGCATATATACCCTTTATACTAACGGGCATACACGTGTCATAATCTTATCCACCGATCCGACATTTATCGATGGATAAGATTGCGCCACGTGTCCCTATTTAGTCTTCCGTTAGAGTGAAGGGCATATATGCTCTAGTTTTTAGACGGCAGGGGCACCAATGTCCCAAAAGTATGACGGAGGGTATCTGCATACCATTTATGATAGTTCGGGGGTATATTTATCCTTTTTCCTTAGATAAAATGATGATTGTGCTGTGGAGTCAAAATTTCTGTGGTAATTTAGTGTCGTACGCAAATAGCTCGCAAAGCTCCCATTGTCTTTTGTAGTTAATAATGAAAGTTTATTTCAGGTTTCAAGGTCCATGCCTTTTAGACGCCATAGACTCTCTCCAACCTCCCCAAAGAGATTACTCAAAGCCTATATTAATGCCGATATGTGATCTCGTTAAATTACCCTCACAAGGACAGGTGTCAGTATGTGGAAAGTTGGAGACAGGAGCTCTTCAAACTGGAGATAAGGTACTCAATTACCCACTAATGCATGAGAGATCCTTCTCCTTTATTTTGACACTCAACATTTAAATTCATCAAGTATCATATCTAGAAAAGATATTTCTCCTTTATGATATATATGCTTTTAGAAGACTTGGACTTTTGAGTCATAACTGTACAGGGAGTTATACTGGTGCCTATAGATCATGTCATCAGTCTGACCATCACCCAAATTAACCTGCCAAAATACCATGCTCTCATTAGGAAGGGCTGAGGGAGGCATTAGGCAAGTAAACTTGTGTCCTAATTTTCCATCAAGGTGCTTCTACATTTTTTTCTCCGAGTGTAACTCTTTTCTAACTGTATATTCTACAGTATTTTGAATTTTATTTGGGGTGTGTGTGCTGAGGGGGGATGGGAGTTCAAGGCAATTGTTGTTTGAGCTAAGGCTTTGCCTGGATTGAAACCTCAGGTGGTTTTGATTACTTCTATGTTTTATGTCTTTCTTTCTTGTCTTGGAAGGGACATCTGCATGTTGACAATAATGAGATAGGTACACGGTGAAACACAAAGACACTTCTTTTTTCTCCCTGTAATGTAAGATACCAGTGAATTAGAGTGTACGGGCTCAAGTTAACAGAGTGATAGAGTTAAAGAGGACTAATATAACTAACAGATACTTGCGCAGTCATCTTGTTAGGGCATTGTTGGGACATGCTGTTAGGTCATTACTGCAATTGCCATCATAATGCTTGTATGGTGCAATCATCTATTGGACAGCAATTGTTTAATGTTGTCAGTAAATGCACCATTGGTGATTTTTTGTTACGTGCAGATTATTTTTCTATTCTACAAGATTTGACCTTGTAACAAGAATGAAAAATTCTTTGGAAGGATAATAGTCTTTTCTAACGCTAAATTCTTAACATGGTCAGGTTCTAGTTATGCCATCAAGAGAAATGGCAACAGTGCGTTCTTTGGAACATAATTCTCAGGTCTGTAACAGTGCAAAAGCCGGAGACAATGTCACTGTTAATCTACAAGGTATAGATGTGAATCGTGTAAAGGCAGGGGATGTGCTGTGCCACCCTGAATATCCTATTGCTGTTACAAATCATTTGGAACTGAAGATTCTTCTCCTGGATATTGCTGTTCCAATTTTAATTGGCTCTCAGGTAGCAGCTCTTGTCATTTTACCCTCAAAATTTACAGAGTTGCATGACATCTGTTTCTAGTTAATAACTCAATAGCTCTGGATATTTGAAAACGTGCAGTTGGAATTTCATGTACACCATGTTAAGGAGGCTGCAAGAGTAGTGAGGATTTTGTCCTTGCTTGATCCAAAGACTGGAAAGGAGACCAAGAAATCACCTAGATGTCTTCTAGCAAAGCAGAATGCTATAATTGAGGTTTCTCTCAAGAGCAACTATATGTCTATTGATATGCTTATGTTTTATCATTTTAGTAAATAAATAAAAAATGTCTTTGGTGGGAATGGGTGCATCGAAGATTCTAGCTATAAAAGAGATCTTAACTTTAATCTGTTTGTCATGGTTTAGGTAGTTTTGCAAGGGATGATTTGCGTTGAAGAGCATTCTAAATGTAAGGGTCTTGGAAGGGTGTCCCTCAGAGCATCAGGAAGAACCATCGCTCTTGGTCTTGTGACTCGAGTTCTAGAGAAGAAGGAATAGAGAAATTGCCACTGCTGGAATGAGATTTGACATGCCCAGAATCAGCTGGTAGAGGTATACATCTGTGAGGACCTTTAGCTTGAAACAATGAAACCTGACTCGCAGTTGAGTGTCATCCTTTTCTTTCTCCTCTCTTGCCTGTCCTGATCTCCTCGAGAGATCCACAATTTTTGTAGTTGCGATAAATGTTAATGATTCTACAGTGGCATAGCTCTAGACATGGGTTTCTTCCCTTCATTTTTGTGGCGGATCTTTCTTTACTTGTACATTTGGAGGAATCTGATATATATTTAAGGTCCCCTCTTTGAGCGACATAGTCACCACTTTATGTATGTCTTAACATGCATACATGACCCTCCTTCATTGTAATACTTGCTTGTAGAATTTTAAGAGGGACAACTTCAAGATGACCATTTTTACTTGGGTATAAGGATGGTATGAGAAATATTAACTTAAAATGTCTAGACTGTGGGTCAGGATTTGGGAAGGTTGTCTATTTACTTCCCACACTCTTCAAGGATGTGGAGCTCCGATTAAATTCGGATCGCGCTCTACAGGGTCTATTCGGGTGTGGCGCTTCCAACAGGATTTTCTCCATACTCAGGGCTTAAATTCGAGACCTCTGGTTAAGTGTGAAACACTCTCATCAGTGCACCACAACCCATGTTGGTGGTATATCTTAACTTATCAGAAGCCATATATAGGCCAACAAAGCCACAAATAGAGACTCGTGCAACAATAATAATTCATGTAACCCATCAATTCACAACAAAAAAAATACAAGTTCTTCTGTGGGCCGACAAGACCACCATGCTGTCTATAGTCACAGACGTTGTGCAGACCATTAAGACCACCATAATATCTATACTCATAGAATGTTATGTGGATCATTGAGGTCATCATGATATCTATTATCAGAGAATGCTCTGTGATCCATCGAGATCATCTTGATATCTATAATCACGAAACACTATGTACATCGTTGAAATCAGCATGATATTTAAAATCACAAAAAAATTGTTTTCCTTATGTGTGTTTAAGTGCATTGCTTATGTTGTTTTTTTTGCAGTTTTTCTTATGTTTTACCCAAAAGAATTTACTGATTTTCCAATTGATTTTTTTCTATTTACTATTGGCTTGTCAATATAATTTATTTTTTTGTTTTTTACTACTAGTTAACCAGTTTCACTGTTGTATTGCTGTTTTTAGCTACTTTGGTCTTGTTTTACTGTTTTTTGTTGTTTTTCTACGGCTTTATCAATATTTTGCTGTTTTTTTCTGCTGCATTGCTGTTTTTAGCTGGTTTGATGTTGTTTTTACTGGTTTTTGATAATAGTTTACTAGTTTTTTTTTTGTATTGTTTTACCAGTTTCTTTTTCCTATTTTTCAGGTGCTTTGATGTTTTTTTTTTGGAGTATTTTCTGCTAGTTTTGGTGCTGTTTTTCTGCTGATTTACCAGCATTTTTGCTGGCTTATTATCAGTTTGAAGTGTTAATATGCTCAAGGTGGAAAAATGAAGAAAAAATAAGCCAAAAAATAAATACTCGGGGGCAACTCATAGTACTTTTTTATTGCACTTAACAAACTTAGATACGTTTAATACAAGAAATTCAAAGCGAGATTAATACAACATAAACGACTACTTCACTATGACTTCACTTTCTCATCTTCTCTCTTTCCAATTGCAAGAATTCTTGTTGCTCTTGTGTAACCATGACATTAACTTCTT